GGGCCCCCCACGCGTCGGGAACGGCCCCGTGTCCCTGTCCCGGTCCGTTATTCCCGGTTTTCCCCTCGGGAAGGCGCCGCCATGTCCCTGTGCCAGCGGGGGCTGAAGCAGAGCCCGGGCGAGGCCGAGGGCTGTTCCTTCCCGGCCGGGCCCGGGCTCAAGGTGTTCCTGCACTGGAGCGGGGAGGAGGAGCGGGAGCGCTGCCGGGTCTATTCCCAGGGGTCCCTCAGCGCCGAGGAAATCTGCATCGACCTCGCCCGCAGGATCGGTGAGTGCCGGCCAGGACGGATCCCCCCGGCCAGGACGGATCCCCCCGGGAATTCCCGGGGTTCTGCTTCCCCGCTGGATTTCACCCCCGGGCCGAGCAGTTCCCAGTCCCCGGGAAGCTCGGCTGGATTTGTGCCGCTGGGAGGGGTGGGAAGGGCGGGCTGGGAAAGGGGTGTCGCGGTGAAACCCTCGGAATTCTGTCCCGGCAGGAATCACCCCGTTGTGTTACAGCCTCTTCGCCCTCTACGACCCCCAGGGCCGGGTCTGGCTCCCCCCAAACCACCAGTTCCAGGTGGGAAAAGACACCAACGTCCACCTGATCTTCAGGATGAGGTGAGGCCTCTCCCCTCCCAGCCCGGGGCTTTTCCAGAGCTGAGCCCTGGGCACCATTCCCGGGTTTTCCCTGGGGTTGTGCTGGAAGGAACGTCAGGTTTTCCCACCTCTTTGCTCCCAGGGGTTGTGCGTTCCCAGGTTGTCCATGTCCAGATTTCCTTGGAAAAGTCAGCAGGGCTGGTCCAAGTGAGGAATATAATGAATTTAGAGCCCCTGCCTCTCCTCCAGCACGGAAAAATCCGTTTCCTTATTCCCAGTATTTCTCCCCGTGGCTCCTTGTTCCTTCTCCCACCTCTCATCCTGGGGACAACGCCCCATCCAAAGGTTTTTGGGACCAACAGGGAACATCCAGGGGCTGCTTCCCGTCACTTCCCAGTCCGGATTCACCCCCTGTGCCCAAATCCCACTTTTTTTACGGATGTGGCCGGTTTTCCTGTGCTCTCAGGACCTTTTATTCCTAAAAAAAAACCCCAAACCCACGGGTTTGAGCCCGGACTGTGACTCCTGGCTCAACCCCAGCCCCTCTCCCTCTCCTCCTCCTCCCATTCCAGGTTCTATTTCCGGAACTGGCACGGGATGAACGACAAGGAGCCGGCGGTTTTTCGGAATGTGCCTCGCCCGGGAGATTCCCTGGAGGAAAAACCCTCTGGAGGAGCTTTGCTGGACAGATCCTCCTTCGAGTACCTGTTCGAGCAGGTAACGGGGCTGGGGCTGGGAAAAAACGGGAGGAATTCCCGTAAATCCAGCGGGAGTTGGGAAAACTGGGATGAATTCCCTGAAATCCGTCCGGATTTGGCTCCGTCCTGTTGCCAGGATCCGTTTTTTCCATCTCCAGGCATTTTTTTGAAGGATAAACATCTCCCCCCCCACCTCCAGTTTTCCCTTTGGAAAGGTTTTATCCTGCTGGAAGCTTGGCCGGGTGGGATTCCGGAATTTTTTTAGGGATAATCTGGCCTGGGAAGGGGTTTTAGTTCGGGGTGGTTTTATTTAAATCTGAAGTTAAAATTTTCATTGATTTGTTTTTTATCCCACCTTTAAAATTAAGGGTGGGATAATAAAGGAACGTTACCCTAAATTAATTAATTTGATTTACTTTAATTAAGAGAGGGAATTAATGGAAAGTCCCTGCGGGAATTCAGCTCAGGGACGTGTTTTTTCCCCAATCATCCCATTTTTTTTTACCAGGGAAAATTCGAATTCATCCACGACGTCGCCTCCCTGCGGGATTTGCGGAGCGAGCCCGAGATCCAGAGGTTCAAGAACGAGAGCCTGGGAATGGCTGTGCTCCACCTCTCCCACATCGCCCTAAAAAAGGGCCTTTCCCTGGAGGAGGTGGCCCGGAAATACAGGTGCCTGGGAATTCCTGCTTTGCCAAAGGGCCTTTCCCCCTCCTTTCCCCACCCTTTTCCCTCCTTGTTTTCCTCACTGGAAGCAGCCCCAGGGTCCCATCCCTGGAACTTGGGATGCCCAGAGAGCCCCAGGAAAAGACTGTGGAGAATCCAGTGTGGGATGGATTGGATTGGAATGTTGTGTGGGATTGGGATGGGAATGGACTGGAATGCTGGGTGGGGTTGGGATGGGAATGGACTGGAATGCTGGGTGGGATTGGGATGGGAATGGACTGGAATGGTGCGTGGGATTGGGATGGGAATGGACTGGAATGCTGTGTGGGATTGGGATGGGAATGGACTGGAATGCTGGGTGGGATTGGGATGGGAATGGGCTGGAATGCTGCCTGGGATTGGGACGGGAATGGGCTGGAATGCTGCCTGGGATTGGGACGGGAACGCCGGGAACCATTCCGGACAACCCGGGACGAGGCGGAAAAGCTCATCCCGAGCTCTCCCCGAGCCGTCTCTCCCCGTTTCCCCCTCCGGCAGCTTCAAGGACTGCATCCCGCGCTCCTTCCAGCGGCAGATCCAGCAGAACAGCTTCCTCACGCGCTTCCGGATGCGCAACGTCTTCCGGCGCTTCCTGCGGCGCTTCCAGCGGCACACGGTGGGCGCCGGGCGGCTCTCGGAGCGCGACGTCATGTCCAAGTACCTGGCCACGCTGGAGCTGCTGGCGCCGCGCTTCGGGAGCGAGCTCTTCCCGGCCCTGTCCCTGGAGACGGCGGCCGAGGGGGACAAGGGGCCGCTCTGCGCCAACGGGGCCCCCCCGGAGCCGGGCCCGGAGCCGGGGCAGCCCCTGATCC